CCAGATGGGTTAATACATAATGCAGACAAGCAAGTAATTGCTTGCCTTTGTAGGGCCGTCAGCGCTGGGTCCCCGGCCCTCTGATCCCCCATTAGCGGCCATGCAAACAAGCCTTCCACCCAATTAAGCCCAGCTTTGATAGAGCCTTTCCCAATGATGCGCCGGTCCCAAACTAGCGATTCGCACATGAGCCACTACCTGTTAAACCCGGAGTCGGCTTCCTTCAGGGACGAGCATCCCTCGCCTCTCGTCGTGACCCAGCTGCCGAGCTCTGCCCGGCTTCCCCCGGCCCTGAAGGGAGGATGGCTGATAAATGATCTCGACAAACTCTATATTAAAGAGGTGGAAATGGGATGTTAATATACCCCGAGTCGCTCGTCTCAAGAACACATGGGCTCCGGCTTCCCAAAGACGTCGGTAATGAGGCGGGCTGGGACGCCCTGCGAGGAGGCCTCAACTCACCGGCCTCCTGCGTCTGCCAGGCGTGGAGGAAAGACAGCCTGACACCCGTCCTCTAAGGCATCCCCACACCGTCCCACAGAGCACCCCCGGGTCACCCCCTAAAGCATCTCAATCTGCTCACCTAAAGCATCTCGGCGTCATCCCCTAAAGCATGCCAGTGCGCTCCCCTAACACATCTCAGCATTATGCCTTAGCACGCCCTGGCATCGTCCCCTAAAGCATCCCAGCACCATCCCCTAAAGCATCCCAGCACCATCCCCTAAAGCATCCCAGCACCATCCCCTAAAGCATCCCAGCACCATCCCCTAAAGCATCCCAGCACCATCCCCTAAAGCATCCCAGCACCATCCCCTAAAGCATCCCAGCACCATCCCCTAAAGCATCCTGGCATCAACCCCTACGGCATCCCAGTGTCGTCCCCTAAATCATCCTACCATCATCCGCTAAAGGATCCCAGCACCATTCCCTAAAGCATGCCAGTGTCATCCCCTACAGCACCCCCCTAAAGCCCCAGCCCCATCCCCTAAAGCATCCCAGCACCATCCCCTAAAGCATCCTGGCATCAACCCCTACGGCATCCCAGTGTCGTCCCCTAAATCATCCTACCATCATCCGCTAAAGGATCCCAGCACCATTCCCTAAAGCATGCCAGTGTCATCCCCTACAGCACCCCGGCATTATCCCTTAGCGCACCCTGGCATCGTCCCCTAAAGCATCCCGCTATGCTCCCCAAAAACATCCCACCGTCATCCCCTAAATCACGCCAGTGTCACCCCCTAAAGCAGCCCAGCATCATCCTCTCGGTCATCCCGGTATCACCCCCTAAAGCATCCCGGTGTCATTCCCGCACCCTCCCCTAAAACGTCCCGGCATCTTTCCGTAAAGCGTCCCGCCATTGTCCCCTGAAGGATCCCAGTGTCACCCCCAAAGCATTCCACCGTCATCCCCTAGAGCACCCCAGCGCGCCCCCCTAAAACATCCCAGCATCTTTCCTTAAAGCCTCCCCGCACCATCCTCTGAAGCATCCCGGTGTCATCCCCTACGGCACCCCAGCGTGCTCCCCAAAAACATCCCGGCACCGTCCCCCGAAGCATCTCAGTGTCATCCCCTAAACCATTCAAGCACCATCCCCTCCAGCACCCCAGCATTGCTCCTCTCCAGACTGAGCCCCCCCCAGGCAGCCCCTCTCTGCGTC